CTCCTGTTTACTGGTAAAGAGTATGTGTCGAGGAAAATCCTCGTTCTTCGGTTTCACTTAAAGCTTCTCTAGGATCGTCATAGCTGATTGGAACGTTTCACTCTCAGCAGTCTACTCGTAAACGGTGGGAGAATCGCATGCAATGAGTCGTTCCAGCTTTTCGTTTTCTGATTTTGCCGCTCTGGCGATAAACAAGGTGAATGTGCGAAGCCAGTGATTTCAAACTTTCGCGGCTGAGGGACAACTTAGATCCGCGTCAAAGCGTTCAGGTCGATAAGGCCGATCCATTGTTAGACGAATATATTGTTATGTTCTGAATACGAGATAACAGTCGGTAGTCGCTCGAGAGAGAGAAGACTGAGAGCCCGGAGATATAAGGCTTTATTCGTCAAACAATTGTGCCATATAGACTGAAACGTATGAAGGAGATATGTTATGAATACAGCGATATGCAATAGACAAAGAGCGTGGTACACGACACCTTATAACTGGATTCGGTTATACAATCATCTCAACTTGTCTCTTTTGAGGAATATCTGCTCTGCCTTCCCGTTGCGGAGGTGTTTTCACATCAACATCCGGAGCTATATCGAATTGATGAACCACTAGCAGTTCACCTAGGGGAGTTGGCTAAAAATCGTGATTCCAACCCAAGCAACCGTTGTCTGTGCGAGGATAGCGGTATCAATTTATTCCCAGGTGGCAGACTGTCTGATCTAGAGTATGCAGACGACATTGTACTATTAAGTGAAGATCCAAGTAGGTTGCAAGCTTTTCTGAATAGTTTGAGTGCCGGTGTATCCATGTTCGGAATGCGTTTTGCACCTTCAAAGTGTGAAATATTATTACAATATTGAGGTGTTCCAGCACCCAGTCTCACCCTGATTGGGGAAGTAGTAGAGGAAGTAGAAAGATCTTACTATCTGGGCGAACGCATCACAGATGAAGTGTCGGTGCGTATACAAAAGGCTCGGTTGGCATTTGCCAACTTGAGACATTNTGAGACATTTGTGGTACCGTAGCGACATCCGGCTGTCTGTCAAAGGTCGAGTATATGCTGCAGCAGTTCGGCCAGTCCTGCTATACGGTGCAGAGACTTGACCACAACGGGCACAGAATAAGATAGATTGTCAGTTTTCGAACACTGCTGTCTACGATGCATTGTACGAGTCTGGTGGGGTAACCGGACGAGTAATGCTGAGGCTAGGCGTAGAGTTTTAGGCAGTTGAGGTCATCCACTGAAGTAAGTGATCGACCTCCATAGATTACGTTGGTTGGGGTTTGTTTTACGCATGTCAGCAAATAGGTTGCCACAGTGAGCGATGCTTGCCGAGGCGTTTCGGTTTGAAAAAGGTCAAGGGTGGTCAACCGAAGATCTGACATGAGGGTGTGAAAACCCTAACCAGGAGACTAGGTCACATAGACCCTGTTAGGCTCCCTGGCTGGGGAACTCGAGATGGTTAGAGATACTGAGTTATATGGCTGAGTGTCGCAAACAGTGGCGCTCGTTCATCCACTCATTATTCTTGTAACATCAGTCTCTAAAAAATCGCTATCTTCCGCTCGAATCTGCTCTCAACATTCTAATCTTCATTCTGCCGGTTTATCCAAATGAGT